ATGGGATGGAGATGTGGGCTGCGCAGCGCTGGGGGGGGAGGAAAACGGGGGTCAGAGCAAGTTTCTCATCCCCACGGGGAAGGAAGACATCACACGGAAAGGATTTCTGGAGAGTTCTGGAAAGAGATTTTTGGAAAGCTGGGGGAGCTAGGAACTCACGACACATTCCCCATTGGGAGCCACATCCGATATGTCTTACAGCTGCCTAACCACGGTGCACACCGCATGCCTGGGCTCTGCTGCTGGCTCAGCGTCCCCATCCTCAGGGCGGGCAGGGTGAGGGCCAGCTGGTCTCCGGTCTGGCTGCCAAGGCCTTTGGAAAACATCGGGGCTATTCCCCACAAGAAGGCAAAGAACGCGAGATCCTCCAGGGCAGGGCTCTTTATTTTGTCCACTGCTGTATCCCTGGGCCTAGAACCACCTGGGCCATAGTAGATGCTCAAGAAACGCTTGCTTAATGAATGACCGAATACTCTGCCCAGCAAGATGAGGATGAAGCCGCAGTGGAGGCTGAGTCCCAGTCCTGGATAGGCCCGTGTCCCTGCCAGTAAGTACCGTCTGTCCTCTGGTAACAGACTGTACCCCTCACCCTGGACAGCCAACCCTACCCTCAACGGGTGTTTCAACAATGAGCTGTATTCAGACACAGGAGAAAGGATGACTGTGTTTTTGTAAGACATCTTAAAAACTCAACAGACTGATGTTTAAATCTCTAAGGCAGGATTTTAAAATGCAAATGACTACAGGTACCAGGCAAATAACATATAAGAGGGAAGGGATAACACGTAAAGATTGACTTTGTCGTCAAACACCTCCTAACAGTGGGTGGTGTTGGAGAAACTGGATATCCTTGTGCAGAGGGAAGAAGTTGGACCCCTACACCTCCCACCATATACAAAAAGTACCTTAAGGTGAAGCAGCAACCTAACCCTAAGAGCTAAAACTATAAACTCTTAGAAGACAATTTAGGAGTAAATTTTCACAGCCTTAGATTTGGCAATGGATTCCTAGATATGACACCATAACAAACAAACAAAAACACAGCTAAACTCCCCTTCCTCCCAAGAAATGGATGTTTCAAGAAAGTAAAAAGAC